GGGGGACCCTATAGTAACTTAATTTAAGTTCCTTAACAGCAACCCAGAATCCTCTTCCCAGAGGGCTTGAAGACCAGCGCACCGGTCTCCAAGAGGCACTCCACATTGAAGTTGGGCTTCCTTCAGAGGGTTTGGGGTTTAGGACGTTTTTTGTTAAGCTTCTTTGGCTACCATAATGGGTATACATAGCAATTAACATGGTCCGCCTGATGTAGTAGCATAATTTAAATTCCTGAAACTCAACCCAGTCAAGCAACTGAAGGATTGCAAGGCTCTGGTGAGGAGCCCTCCACATGAAGGTCGCCCAAAATTAGGGGTCCCTTTCTTAGGGGGGCCCTAGTAAGAAGGATGATAGGTGTTTGCGGTTCCGTGTTGGGGTCCCCCTATTTAGGGAAAGTACCACATGCCACAGTGTATGTAACCCACTACCCACAGCAGCCGCCTTCCGCCCTTGGACTCTTCTTTTTTCTCCTTTCACGAGGTCTTGTTGTTGCACATCTGCCTGGTTGGTTGGAGGATTCCAGCCTCTGAAGGCTTCTCGCCTTCTCCTTCGGTGAGAGCTAATGCCTTAGCTATGTGTTTAGACCATCGGAAAGAGGCAGGCTTGTTGGGTGCCCTCTGAGATTCATGCGGCGGCCTCTTGCGCATCCACATCCTCCACGAAGGCCTGTACATTGATCTCAGACGTTTTTGCTTTCCCCATTCTACTAGCCTGGCCATTGACCACTTATAGCCTGAACCACCTTTGAGATTCCGTGACGTGCGGGCACTGGAATCTGAGAATGCCGCATCCAGCAGTTCTTGAAACTTTGTCGTGGTGGTGCGCACCACCATTTGTGACTCAGAGGCAGTCACCCAATCAATCTACCACTGCAAGTGCGCAGCACTGGGCCCATGCGACACACAGCCCTCAGACCCACACCACTGCATCATTGAACAGGAACTGCACCATTCGGATGAACCTAAGCCAAAGGCTGAGGCTGAGGTGCCAAGAAAGCACAAGCAAGGCCGAGCTTCATACTACAATCTACTATGCTATACCATAAAATACCATTATCTACTATAATATACCATAATATATTTAAATATACCAAAATCTACTATAGTATATCATAATATACCATAATATACTATAGTATACCAAAATTTGGAGTCAGGCTTTGTCAGCTTTCTGCACTGTGTCCGGGTTGTAGCCCGCTCGGTGTAGGACATGCCACCACCGTCCTCACTGCAACTTCACTTCTCTTCCATTCACAAGGGCGGCCCTTTTCAGTCCTGGTCTCCCTCGTCTCCTTCCTGTCACCAAGTACCGACTGAAAAGCTGCAAGCACGGTTCGCTCCAAAAAACCTAACAGGTCTTTGCAAAAGCCCGGGGCCTCGCGCTCCTCCTCCCCGGAGCCGCGCTGTCCGAAACCATTCTTCTTGAGGAAGTCTTGAAGGCTATTTGTGCACGACCTGAGCGTCTGTACATCGAGGCAGAGGGCAAAGCAATGCTTCAATGATGGACGTTCACTAGTAGCAGTAAACAGACCAGACTAGACAAGACCGCAGAGTGCGGAGCTGATGCAGTTCGTCCTTTATCTTCTCCCAGACCTGCAAAGGCAGAGCGCGCAACCATTGTCGCATACGGCATACGAGACTGGTCTGAGTTCAGTAAACGACTTTGAATCCGCAAGATCACAAGGCACTACAAAGTGGGCCGGCCTCCTGGAGGTCTGCAGCCATCTGTTTTCTCTTTTGCCTCTGTTGCTCCTCAAACTCCTGCAAAACATGCAGAGTCAAGTTGCGGCACCTAATATTTAGGGGTCCCCAATTTTGGGAACTACCCTTGTGTCAAACCAGCATTGCCAGCAGCTATTACTACTATGAGTTTTATTCTTTATACTAGAATTACTATTGTATTATGATTGTTATGATTATTATTCTTGCTGTAAGGGAGGCAGCAGCGGTCCTCTACTTGGTAGACAGTCATTGGATTCACCTGCATCATTGCTCGGCCAGTTACTGATTTGGCTGTTGTAGGGGGTTAGGGATGTTACCCTAGGGATGAGGCGGGAAAATACTATGAAAACTACTATCTACAGGGGTTTCTCAGGTTTACAGGGATACGTAGTACGTAGGGTTGACAGCAGAGAACCACATGTAAAATGGGAAAATGACATGGAAAGTACCTTTTAGAGGGTTACAGGGATGTATAGGGTTATGTGGCAGGGACCTTCTGGTAT